CAATTAAACGCCATTTAACATTAAAGTAAATAATATAGCCATTTAACGTTAGTTTAACATCAATTAATCCTACTAAACGCCATTAACTTTATAACGCCATTTAACATTGTTTAACGATATTTAACCTTAGCTTAATACATTTAACGTTAATTAACGCCATTAACGAGGTTTAACGCCATTTAACGCAAGTCTAACGCCATTTAAAGATAGTCTAACCCATAACGTTACTTCAACGCCATTTAACGTTAGTATAACGACATTTAACGTTAGTTTAACTACATTAACGCATTAACGCCAATAACGAAGGCTTAACGCCATTAACCCATAACGCCATTTAACGTTAAGTTAACCCATTTAACGTTTATATAACCCATTTAACTAATTTAAATCCATATAACGATTAACGCCATTTAACGTTAGTTTAACTATTTAACTTCAAATATAACAACATTTAACGTTAGTTTAACGCCATTAACCTTTACGCCATATAACTTAGCTTAACGCCATTTAACGCTAGCAACCAATTAACATAAACGTCAAACCTTACCAAACGCCAATAACGCATTAACGCCATTTAACATTAGTATAACGATTTAACTCAATTAACAACATTTAACGTTAGCTTAACGCCATTTAACAATAGTTTAACGCCATTTAACGTTACATATCACATTATCAAATGCAATGAACTTAATTAAACCCATCAACGAGCTTAACGCCAATTTAAAAGTTTATAACTTAACATCAAACCCCACCTTAGCTACTCATTTAACGTTAAGTTTAATTCATTTAACGTTAATCAACATTAACGTTAATATAACGCCATTTAACGACAGTTTAACGCCATTTAACGAAGTTTAACGCCATTTAACGCGATATTAACGCTAAACGTTACTTTAACGCCATTTAACTAAATAACGCTATTTAACGTTAGCTTAATTCATATTTAACGTTATATAACGCCACTTAACGTTAGTTAACGCCACTTAACGTTAGTTTAACGCCATTTAACCTTAATAAAACGCCATTTAACGCTAATTTAACGCTATTTAACGTTATAATTTAACGCCATTTAACGTTATTTAAACGCCATTTAACGTTAGCTTAACGCCATTTAACGACAGCATAACGCTATTTAACGACATTTCAACGCCATTTACCATTAGTTTAACGCCATTTAACGTTATTAAACTTTATTTAACCCACTAAAACGCCATTTAACAAACGCCATTTAACATAGCTTAACGCCATAACGTTAGGCTTAACGCCAAACATTAATTTAACGCAAACCTTAAAAACGCCATTTAACGTTAGTTTAACCCATTAACATACTATAACTTTAATATCAACGCTAATTAAACGCCATTTACCATTAAGGTTTAACGCCATTTAACGTTACATAACGCCATAACGTTATTAACGCCATTTAACTTTAGTTTAACGCCATTAACGCTAATTAAACGCCATAACCAAAGCTTAACGCCATTTAACGAGTTTAACGCCATTTAACTTAGAAGCACTAAGTTATTGCTTAACGCATTTAACGTTATCTAACCACACTTAAACCCCTCTAACTATTTAACCTAATAAACCCATTTAACTAATAAACCATAACATAAGTTTAACGCATTTAACCACTAAACGCCATTTAACGTTAGTTTAACGCCAATAACATAAGTTTAACGATATCAAACCCATTACTAAACGCCATTTAATCTATTTAACGGCATTTAACGTTAGCTTACTACTATTTAACAATATTAGTTTAACGCCATTAACTTTAATAAACGACAATTAACTTTAAGTTTAACGCCACTTAACACCATTTAACGCCATTTAACATAGTTTGCACCTACAATTAACATTAATTAAACGCCATTTAACGTTATTTAACGCCATTTAAATACTAAACGCTACATATATAAATCATTAACTTTAGTTTAAAACCATTAACAGTTTAACCCACTTAACGCTAGTTTAACGCCATCTAACCTTAATTAACGCCATTTATCAAGAAGTTTAACGCCATTAACGAAAGTTTAACTCATTTAACGTTAATTTTAACGCCATATAACGTTAGTTTAACCACATTTAACTATTAACTACATATAACCATTTAACGTTAATTTAACTACATAACGTTAGTTTAACTCCATTAACGCCAATTAAACCCATTTATCTTTAGTTTAACGCCATTTAACCTGTTTAACCCTTTAACTAGTTTAACGCCATTAACTCAATTAAACGCCATTTAACTTTAGTTTAATCCCACTTAACGTAATAAACCACATTTATCGCTACTTTAGCTTCAATTAACTTTGCACTTTAACGCTATTTAACTTTCTAACTCCAAACGTTACACTAATCAATTTAACGTTAATTAAACGCCAATAACGAGTTAACGCCATTAGCTATTAATTTTTAACGTTAGTTTAATCATCCTTAATTAAACGCCATTTAACGTTAGTTTAACGCCGAGGCAGCAAGGTGCAGAAGTGCACTGGTTGAAAATTCTGTCGCCGCAGTTGCATATAGCTCAGGTGTCGTAGAGTAATCTACTGCGGACAGGATGTTGCTTACTTCTGTGGGTAGCTTTTGTGCGTGAAGCTGGCGCAGGATAGAGTCAGGAAGTCTGTCTGTGTACCGAGTTCACCCTGCACATCTCTTCCCAGAGATGTCCCGGAGTTGAGTTTCCCAGGAGATGGAAGATTGGTTCTGCAGGATATCGGAGCGGGTCCGTTGGTAATGTGTTCTTAAGGCATTCCGCAGAGTGGCGAATTTGTTGTTCTCTGGAGGGTTGGAGATGATCTGTGAGACTTGTGTGGCGACTTCAGTGGGCAAGGAGCAGAGCAGGGCGCCGTACTTCTGCTCGTCTGTAGCTGTAGAGCCGATGAGAGCTGCTTCGACATGAACTAACCAGTCCTCTACGTTGTGGTTGAAGGTTGGTAGAGAGATCCGTCCGTCCATTCTTCGGGAGAATATCGCACCTAGGGAAGGATGAGGATGGGTTTTGCTCCGACCCCCTTTCGTGTTCACAATCTCCTGGGAGGGAGGTGAACAGTTACAGGGGGGACCGCAGGACGAATACACTTTTGAGGGTGCAGGTCCCTAGGCCAGAGCGAAAAAGGAAAAATGGTAGTAGAAGGAAAAGAGCTCAAACCACGCCGGGAATATCGCGCTATAACTGCTCTCCAGCTGGAGTGTGGGTCACTCACACCACCAGTGGGGAGGGCAAGCTAATGCTCGATAAACCAAGAACGCTCGTGAGTTGTTGTGGGCGATGACAGTCGTGGGTGGTCCGGTCCGGGAAGATGGCCAACAATGGCACAAGGGAGAGGGCGGTCTTCAAAGTTCCGGGTCCAGCAGGAGGTCTTGTTGAGAGGTCTTCTTCGTTCAGGCGTAGCCGTATTTATACAATTTACCAGGATCAGGATCTGGGCTGCGCGTAGCGAGCGGACCAATCACAGCGGCTCAAGCGTAAGGTGTGAAACGCTCTGATCCTGAACTGGAGGTTGATGGTCGAGACTAGGTCGGCGATCGTACCCCTACGTCCTCTGCATAGACCTAGTCTCTCGGCGTAGCTGGCTGTACGCTGATTGGCTGGTCGGAGTGCGGCCGGAGCTCAGTTGGGAGTTGTAGGGGAGAGTAGCCACTACATAAGTGTGTCAAACCAAGTATATCTGATTTAATAGGCTTCAAGCATTCATCGGCACTCAGAAAAGAAATAGACTGCAGCACACGAATGTTGTCAGGTAAGAGTTGACCAAGTTGTTTTATGAGTTCAACCCGTTCAAATGTATTGTCCCTGTAACCCCGTTGCTATATATTATGGCTCGAAATTAGGAAAACTGAGTTTTCATGGACAGTCCAAAAGTATCCAGAAAGTCGCTAGATTTCTGTGGATATCTCTAGATTTGCGACAAGTCGCAAATCGCTCTAAAATGTCGCTAGAAAAAAACAAAAAGCTCTAGATCTAGCTACAAAGTCGCTAAGTTGGCAACTCTGGTTGTGACTGTCAGCTGCCCATACATGTTGCCATATCGCCAAAATTTATTTATTTTTAATTCTCTATCGTATAAATCGTTGTTGATGTTAGAATAATGACGTATATCAATTATATTCAAATTTATCTTATTACTCTAAAATAAAACCTTGGTGAGCTTTATTGGAAGTAATAAAGAACAAACGAGCGAATGGAGGTGGGGTGATATTCTGTGACTCTCAAAGTGCTTTGAAATCAATGAACAGGAATGTGATAACTGTGTGGATTCCGTCCCATGTTGGAATCAGGTATAAGAACATAAGAAAGTGGGATACTGCAGGAGGCCGACTGGCCCATACAGGGCAGATCTCTTTCACACCCATCCCAGCACTTCCATGTGCCTATCCAACTTCGTCTTGAAGCTCCCTAGCGTCCCCGATCCTACTATAGCACTCGGTAGCCTATTCCACATATCCACAACTCTATTACCAAACCAGTGCTTGCCTATATCCTTTCTGAATCGGAATTTATCTAATTTAAAGCCATTAAAGCCTCCTCTCGTGTGTCTAGGAAAGGGTCCCGGAAAGGGGACGTGATTGCTGCCCGTATCATCATTGGGTATGACTTTGCTTGGGAGATTGGTATCCCCGCATCCCCTGAGCAACGCTCTTGTGCATTATGCAGAAGACCCGACAGCCGCACCCTTAACCACTACCTCCTAAGATGTCCCCACACACAACGCTTCCGTGACGCCTGCTGGACCACGACCCCCTGACGGAGACACGATGATCCTCCCCATACTGGCCAGATGTTATGTAAATAACATTGATTATGTGTTAAAGGAATATCCTTCCTTTCTTAGGCTTTAGTAAGCCCCTTTATAATATTTATACTGTATACTGTATATACTTGTCACACTTGCCAGATGCTTCTGGTGTCATTGTACAGGGGTACCTAGTGACAACACTAGGACCCCGCTTCCTCTATCAAGGAATAAACAATTGAAATTGAAAAATTGAAATTATATTTGCGTGATAGTAGATGTACACATAGACTGTAACTGGTTAAACTGTGTGCACAAAGTAGTGGTGGGTAAATGTGTACATAGACTGTAACTGGTTAAACTGTGTGCACAAAGTAGTGGTGGGTAGATGTGCACATAGACTGTAACTGGTTAAACTGTGTATATAAAGTAGTGGTGGATACATGTACACATAGACTGTAACTGGTTAAACTGTGTGTACAAAATAGCGGTGGGTAGATGTGTACATAGACTAACTGGTTAAACTGTGTATATAAAGTAGTGGTGGATACATGTACACATAGACTGTAACTGGTTAAACTGTGTGTACAAAGTAGTGGTGGGTAGATGTGTACATAGACTAACTGGTTAAACTGTGTGTACAAAGTAAAGTTTTTGTTGTCTGTGGATGTAGTCTTGTATTCATTGGCAATTATTGTTATCAGTAATTACGTAAGGTCATATCCTAAATGTGTACTTTTATGTTTTAATTGCTATCAAGTGGGTAAATGTTGTGGGTAATTACTTAGTTTTCTCTAAAGAAAATAGAGTAAATGTTGATACAGTATAGGCTAATGTATTTTAATTTTATATACAATAGTTTACGGCATTATGTAATAAGATCTGGCATCTGATATCATTCCTTTATTTGCATCCCATTCTCTCTCTCGTTGGTGTATATCACACCTATACTACATGTGAACCATAATATGCATTGAAAAGAGTAATCTATCACGGATGACCCAGTAAGTGTTATGTTATATTGTTTACTTTAAGTTCACTTAAATTTAGTGTCCCTCGCTCCTGCCAACACTTTCTCTTTACTCACATGCGTAGTACTATCATCGTACATGAAAGTCGGTGTACCCTTGCTCTGTTTTCTTTGCAAATAAAGCAGGTGATCTATTTTAATCTGGTTTTAAAGCAGCGGGCGCCCAAAAATGGCTATGACCCAAGCAGTAGTGAAGTTTGTCCCCTCACCCTCAATGGGTGCATGACCCAATGTCCTAACACACTACCTGACTTCGATTCTCTGGTGATTTTTAATAATAGACCTAAATAATATTAATGAATTATAAAATATATGAGTAGACATATTTCAGCATTTGATATTATATAAATGTGCTGTTTTCTTGGTGTAGGGGAAAGGTTTAATGTGATGAAGGAAGACGTGGCCAAAGACACGAACAGTGCACCTTGTTGTGGGTGGCTGTCTGGGAGAGGACTGGTGTCATCACTCAGCGACGTAATCATGGCAACATGGAGTCTCTCCTTGATCTAGCAAATTTTTCAAACTACTACGTTCGTCATTGTTTCCTACAGTACCCCGTAAGTACCTACACACGCTAATACATCCGCTCCTCTCCGTAAATTAAGTCAATATTGGATCCATTGTCAGCCTGTGTTGGTGTGTGTGGGACTGAGGTAACTTGGCCTCGTCTACCCCCACATAAACTTACTCTACTACCAGATGTACAGTAAATAAATGACCTTCCATAACCGTTTTCTAAATAATATAACACAGGAGGGGTTAGTTTTGTTATTGTAATTAGTGAAGTAGATGGACAGGTGAGTGTGGGCAGGTTCTTGTGTTGTAACTTACAAAGAACCTTAGTGTATTTAGATATGAACTGCTGTCTGACGAATAGAGTCTGGTCTGCCTTGATCAGTTTGGTGGTTTATTGGTAGAATTTATATTAATTTGGGGTAAGTTAAAGATTTATTACTTAAAGAATATTTATTTTGAAGTGACCCCATGGCCATAATATTGTGGCTACCTAACCCACAGGCTGCATGGTAGTGAGATGTTTTTTAAAGAATTGAATACATTGCATTCAGTATTTTGCATTACAATTATGAGTATTTTGATGATTGAAACTTTTCTAACCTAACCTAACCTAACCTAACCTAACCTAGTGATTTTATATTATGGCCATATAGCTGGTGGGCGAGGTAGCTGCTATATTATGACCACAGAGCCACTTTGTATTTATTATGTGAGTGAATCCAGTGTTGAAACTGAAAAGTCAATTTGGTATTATTTCTCTTGTTGCCATTAAACGAATCTCGGGAATTTTATGGTTGCAATCAGTAGTTTTGACAATTCTAAGATACTTTTCTTCAATGGCATTTCTGGTGCAAATTATGTATAAGCGAGATATTTAACATTTTATTTTGTATGTTCGTGCATGGCGGTACACACCCAGAACCTGGAATGACTGTGGAGCTCCCCGGCTAGGTTAGATTCAACACTGTTTTCCCGTGGTCTTCGATGTGTTTTGAACACTTTTTACCTTGATTTTATAGCAAACCTCTAGATTCTGAGAGGGGAGGGAGGGGGCCTTATCTCAGAAATTATTGATTTGCACCAGAAATGAAGGTAAAATTCGCTTATAACACACCAAAAACCATCGGAGAAACATAATTCAATTTTGATTTCGTATAGTGCCAACAAAAGAAAATTTACCGTCAATTACGTATATATTTAGGAGGAATCGGGAGGCAGAGCCGTGCCTTTGGCTCTTTGGTAACTCATCAAAACCCTGAAAAAGCTGTGGTTGTAAGAGTGAACCAAATCTGCCTTCTCTTGAGAAATGGAGTAAGGGATATGATCGAAGTTTATAAATAGAAGATGGGTTTAAATAATGGTGATATAACAAAGGTACTTAAACCGTCATACCTGGAGTGAACAGTTAGCAATGGTTTTATATTTGACGAATTAAGATTTAAGAATGTTTTGCAAAAATATTTGATCAGAGGTCGAGTTGTAGGCCAGTGGAACAAGTTACTGATCATCATCGTCAACTCGGATTCATTGGGAAGTTTCAAATATAGGTTGGATAGACATATGAACCTTGCTTGTGGTGTGATGCAGTTGGATGTGTCTGTTGGCACTCTCGAATTTTGGTAAATTATCAGTGAATGTGGAGTGGTACTACCAAGGAATTAGCCAGGTTGGGACTGTGAGAGTTTGGTGAATATGCTCACAAAGGAGAGGACTTCCAGCTGGGTTAACAGACATTAAGCCTATAAAATGAAATAGTAGTCTAGCCAACATGCTGAAGTCCAGTGGAAATGTAGACAAAGTCAGAGCTTATGGTATAACTAGGAATACTGTACCTCCACAATGTTATGTTGGCATTAAACTCGAGAAGTAATAGATACAAATATATTCAATAATATTTGACCAATAAAATAAATTAAACTAGCTTGTTTTAGTCGGAAAAATAAATAACTTTTTTGAAAAGAACCTTTGCTTTAAACTGCTTTGGCTAAATTCTGTTGTTATGCGGTACAATGTTACTACAGTACAAGGTAATTTTTATTTGCCAGTACTGTACTTTAGAGTGTGTGGACAGTAAAATATAGACACCATTAAATCATTGTTTCTCCATCCACAGATTGCATTCCCTCTGATAACATGTCTTCTGCTTGGGCTCCTCGTGCTGGTGGTGTTCCGACTCTGTGTCTCATCCCCCAAGGCTATAACAGATGAAATTAAACGAGAGCTGAAGAACAAGGGTAAATTAATGCTATGAGACTTAATTTTTTTAACACACGAATTATTTTAGTGCTGTAATAGTGTTCATTCTGTCTTTTGTGTACATGTGTGTATAAACATTTACTTTGTTGTATTTTCTTTGTTTAATCAGATGCTTATTAACCCCCTGAGTACGATGATATTTCAGTATAATTAAAGGTTTGAAGTCAACATATTAAAGGGATTTACACAATGAACTCAAGGGTTAAGTTATCATATTCAGGATTAAGTCATCATACTCAAGGTTTAAGTCATCATACTCAGGATTAATTCATCATACTCAAGGTTTAAGTCATCATACTCTGGATTAAGTCATCATACTCAAGGGATTAGGTCATCAAAGGATTAAAAACATGTCCTCTTATTTCTGCCATGATCTTTGTGTACGAGACTATATTTACGAATCATTCTCCTCCCTACAGTAAAAATCATATGGAAAATTTGCCTATCATATTTTTCTTGATTCCTTAACCTTCCTGTTTTGTTTGTATTGAAGCATTTTATTATTATTCAAGTGTCTCGTGATTTTTGAATCGTAAAGAATTTGGTCATGATGAACACCTGTGCAGTTTATTTTGTAAATGCGATGGATCATTATATACCATATCCCTAGAGATGATAAAGTAGTAATTATTAAGTGTGGTAACTGTACATCTTCTAGGTTTTACAGTTTATATTTGTTATGTATGTATGGAAATATATATTACTGTACCGTTGTTACGTTAACTCTTCCTTCTGTTGGGTTCTCGATGAGTACAAGTGTTTACTATGTAACGTTTTCAAAGACTGTTTAATCTCAGATATCGGTGAAGCAAAACCAAGTGAAAAACGATATAATTAATATAAACTATTTTCAATGTATATAAGAAACAATAATGACAAAATAACTAAATAGGAAGTTTGTTCAGTTTGAGCATTTAGCCATTGACAAAACAACACTATTAAACCTACAATTAAATCAATTACAATATACTGTACAGTACTTAACCTGACCGGAGCAGGAACACTAATAAAATAAGTAAAGACAATTCACACAATACAATGAACTCATCACTACGTAGGAGAAGGTGAGACCCACAGCCGTCAACCATACCGTCCACAATCTGACTGGCTGTTCTCGGGTGGTTAACGCCAACCTCGAATGAATGAGTCGAAGCATTAAGACAGTCCAGTGTGGTGACTCTTGGCAGTCCTCGCCACTTTTTAACTTAGCCTATAGATGGCGACTGTCATAACACTGTATTGAAATGTAGGTTAGTAGGTTTTATTTTATTTTGTTATGTATACTTTGACAAATTATATTATTAATGTATTCTTTTTTTTTCAATTCCACAGTTGATGATGTCAAGGACTTTGTCGGGGTCGGAACTCGGCCACGGTTCCGAAAACGTGACAAAATTTACTTCTATGGCTGCAAGATGCTCCGTAAGGTAATTCACACACGACAAACTTATGTACCACTGTATTGTCTCTGTTGTGTGTTGCTTGAAGGTGGTAATTTGTCTGTATGTTTGGGTTTTGCTCAGTATTCGAGTTAATTTGCGTATGAGTAAGTAGTTGGTGGGATTTTGTGAGTCTCTTATATGAGTTTGGTATTTGTTGGGGAGATTACAATGTATTGTACTGTACTTGAGAAATGTATTTTACGGTAATTGTATCAGCACAAAACTTTGTCCAAAGTTCATCCACTGGATACAGGTACACGTATATATTCTTTAAAGGAGTGAAAAAATAGTCTTTTTCTTATCTTATTAAAGCCAAAGCAATAATGAAGCCATTGGTGTGTAAATTATGCATAAAACTAAAAAAATTCTAATGGGATAAATTGGCTGCAGAACATAGATGCCCAGACCGCACCTGAATGGTCCCATATGACTTTTGTTGTGGTCACGGAAACTTAAAAACCTAAAGTGAGAGGTTTAATTACATTCATCCATCCCAGTCTCTGCCTTCTCCTGGCCTTACTACAGAATACCAAGTGTTGTCATTTGTTACAATACTAGCTCTGAAAAATGTCATTATCTAAGATCAAGACTAGTTAGCATGTACAGTACTGGTACAGGGGTACTGTACTGTACTGTACTTGATTATATTATTTTAATGCACAGTTGAAATTGCCATTGTATGTGTACAGTATTGTCTTTCCTAACTATCTACATTGAGTACACTCTTAACCCTTTGAGGACCATGGCTTTGTGTCGTGGCTGCAGTGAGTGTTTACTGAGGGAGTATTGCATCAGAACACGAGGGACTGTGAATCACCAGCACAACATTTCTTAAGACTTCAGTTTGGTAACAATGGCTCATCCAGGTTTGCTTCAGTTTTGGGAAATAATGTTTGTCCTAAGATTTTAGTTGTTTAATAATAATGGCAAAGAAAAGAATTTTGAGAATACCTTGTACTGTACTGTACTGTACCAGCAATTATTGATGAAGATTTTGATGCGAGGAAATACACGCAGATAAGCATCTCTGTTTACTTTCAATAATTTCCCCATGAAGTTGTACAGTACATGCCACACACACTTGTCCTAATGGTACGTCCTCTAGCGTATTGCCAGATACCCAAAGAATGTTCTATACTACTGAGGGTATATACAAACACTTGTTGTCTTTAAAAGTAGGTTCTATTCTCGTACGGGAGATAATACAGTAGGACGCAGGAAGCCTGTGGGCACGCCACCAGGACTCGGTCTCAACTACTTCTACATCTATCTATGTATTACTACGCGCTGGCCTATACAGATGCCAGCATTCACAAGCTGAATACATAAAGTATAAATGTGATAATTTATATACATAATATGATGCACAATAAATAGAATATTACATAGAATTAATACATGTTCTGTAATACTTTACTATACATAATTAATAAGAGTAATATAACAATATACAGCTGAAGGTACTACTTTGTGTCCATATATATCATACACGTCCCACCGTAGTACAGTACAGTATTAGCAAGGGAAAGAAAACACCTTAAACTGTATAGTTGGATCAAATATAATAACTCATGACAACCAACATGAGCTACGTAACCTTCATAACCTCCTCTTCAAATACTACTGTTCTTAGGCATTTTATTTTTTTTTATTTTTTTTTTTTTTAGAACTTTTGGTGTCTTAGGTACAGTATTTAGTAAAAAAAACGTGATTAAGAGGAGTTTCAAAGGTCACTTCCTCAGTGTTTTTTATAATTCTCTCTCTTTACATGAGTGTGTTTGTTTATGACTGGAAGCTTTTGAAGTGTGTGAGGAGAGAGTATGGAGGATGAGGAAGAGATGGAGGAGTTATATATTGTGTTTTAATTACGTAAACTATTAATATTATCTCCTCTGTGAATTCCGAATCTATTGTTGGCCTTGTTACTGTGTGTGTGTGTGCACTGCATTTTTCTTTGCTGCTTATCTGTATTTGGGTTATACTTACTGTGTGTGTTTTAGCACTTGCTTAATCTTGTCTTATCTGGCACTGTGCTTGAAAGGATGGTCGGGGGCGATTTTTTCTTGGTTTTTCTCACTTTCGCAAGGCCTTTGGGACACTCATTTTCTGTATACTATAAGATTGTTTGCTTTTTAATTTGTAGGATATTCAGGGGTTGACATTATCTCTGGCTTTTTTTCAGCCACATGCAGCTATTGTCGGGCACAAATTGTTATTTACGGGGTATATAATTATTATTTTTTAAATATAAAGAAGACCAGATCATACCAGTCCAGGAAGCCACTTAACATTCATATAATTAAGGCCGTGGCTAATCGCATGGACTAATACCATCACGTTATGTCTCGTGATGGCCAAGAAATGAGCAATTCTCAAGAAATCCAATCCAACCTGACGAGCGTAATTTCTCGGCCATCGTGAGGGACAACGACAAACGGACTGTCCGCACAATTGACCAGGGTGAATAATTAACACCCATCAAATAGAACAATGTGTAAGATGACCAAGTTACTCAAGAAGGGCGAAATGTATGAGAGTATGTTGGTACTTCTTACTAAACCATGAGAAGACAAAACAACTGTGATATTGCTGATGGCTTTTGAAATTTGTTGGCCACTGTGGAATAATGTGCCAGAAACTTATTGTCAGCCCCTGAGACAGTTTATTGATTATAGGTAGAAACATATAGAAATTGTACAGGGTGGGCAAGAAATCACTGACACATTGCTATAGAAATGTGAAATATATGTGTATTAGTTATTTCTTACCTACCCTGTATATATGAGCGGATGAAGTGTTGAATATTCAAGTCTTAGCTGCTATGTACAGAATGTGGTGTGCTTAAAGTATAAGTGTGTTTTGATTCTTTTGGCCTTAAACCCTTGTAGCAATCTGTCAGTGTACATTAATAGTATCATATGTTATGCCATCATAGATCTTATAACTCACAGTAAAGTTAATTGTTCTGTACTTTAAGTTATGTTAATTGACTCTTGCTTCATAGTTGTAAGTGTTGGTCTTTTCGTGCCAGTAAGGCCTTAAGACATTTTTTGCTTCACAGGTCTATGCCTTATGCTTGTGCCTCAGGCTGGAAGGGTGGTGGCTCAAACATGGCAAAAATGTGATTTTACAATCTTCATTATTGGTTGTGGTTGACTGACCTATTGTTATATTTCCTTTCTGCATCCTGATCACAAAATGAAGAGTTGAAACATATTCTTTTCATATGGGTAGTTAAATTATATACTGTATGGTTAGATTAATTACATTTTAGTGAAATTATAATTTTAGAAAAGAAGTTCCCAATCTTGATACAGCAAGTTAACTGTCATATACTTAAGAGTGCTGTATACACATGTTATTTGATTGTAGTCTAAACCTCCATTAGTGTTGTTCACCAAATGTCTCGCCACTCTCTAGGTTAAAGCCAACATTCCAACTCGTCCCGTGGCTTCTCGGCTGTTGGCTAAGCGTCTCGCGCGTAAGTTGTTGGGACGCAACGACCGCGACTCCCCCCAGCTGGAGGTGATTGAACCACCGGCGGAGTACCTGCAGGAAGATCTGATCCACTTTGACCCCGGCGTCCCCGCGGAGTTCATCTTCATGCTCAGGAACATCAGGTGAGGAATTCTCTTGGTTCTTCCTTGTGTGATGTGGGAGGTGCCAGTGTTTTTTCTTAGAGGAATTGTAGTCTGTACATTTCATTATGGGGTAACATGAGAATTCAGATTGATTTTTGTTCAGTAATTTGTTGTGTGGTGATTGTCCAAGGTGTTGCTTTTGGGTGGATGTTTGGGGGAACACAACACCAGGATGTGGCCTTTGTTAGTAAGGTTAGGTTACTTGTATGAGCACCCAGAAAAACAATTTATTTGTATTTTTATGAAATGAAAGAAGTTTGTGTATGATTTTAGAATTAGTGAATAGATAATGTTTTATTCAGATGCTAATACAGTACTGTACAGTACTTACTAACGATTCAAGTTGTAATAACCTTAATGAAATAGACTTCATTATGGTTACTTGAACAATGTGCCAACCATGATTTTTGAGTTAAGACATTGGTGAAGATGGGACTAATCTTAAGATAGTTTACCTGCCTGTCATAAGCAGAGCCTTAAAACAGGTCACAAATCAAGGGGAGGTTGGCCTCACAGACAGTTGAGGGCATGGAGGGTATCAGGACATGATGCCACTGTGGTATATGACTCACCATGGTTAATGGGTCAGCCATCTTGAATGGGTTACAGGGTCACCCATTCAGTTCCAGCCACACCATCACCCTGCATGGTTGTTACCTGCTTCTCTGCCTCGTGTTTGAATTATGTGCTTTTTCCGTTGGTGCCTCCTAATATAAGTGTCAGTTACAGGCTTTTGCCTTTGTTGTTTTATGTTGCAAGTGTATATACATTTGCTTAATGGCCTAGTTTGAGATTAACTAGTGTGCTTTTTGCAGGACCTGAAGGTATTTTGGCATCAGGCCTTCTCTGTTGCATAGTTCAACCTGTTTTATGATATTATTTCTATAAAAATGGAGGTCTGGTCCCAAAGTAGAGGATGCTCAGGTGGAGTCCAAAATATAATTTTGGGATATTTTCTAATTAGATGTTGGTTGGGAGTCTACAGAGTACAGTACAGTATACCATATAAGGATGGTTCAGACTCTCAGATAATGACACACACTGAGCCAGTCAGTAGCTTGATGACCTGGACAGTCCCAGTCCTTTCAGTGGGTTGTGGCATTTATTGTAGATGGATTGATTTGATGGTCTGGTAATTCATCAGAGATGGCTGACCTGTTCAGCTTGGTGAGTCTCATGCCAGGGTGATGTCAAGACCTGCTACCCTTCAAACCCTGTACAGTGTTGTTCAGGTCATCCTCTGTTTGATTTGTGGCTTTTTCGTGGTTAATGCATCATTTAAGTCACCAGGTTATAGGTTCAGTCAAAGAGAGTTTGAGGATGAAGCCAACATTTGGAAGAATTTATTTTAATGTATTGTTCTCTGTGAACTATAGGTTGTTGAATAACTTTCTAACCAATGTTTAAGGTCATTTGTATACGTGGACACACACACAAAGATATAAATTTCCTCACTTGAGAATCTTATTCTTGTGCCAATTTATTGTAGTAAAGGCTTTTAAAATTTCTTCAACACTCACAGCATGATGGGCACAATAGGTAGGCTGGTGGACCTCATACTGGGAGAACAGTAAAGAGCTAATAAACATTACTGAGGGGCTTATGTCTTTCACTACTCAGGGGAGATATTAGATGTGACAGCACCAGGGATGTGATCAAGTCAGAATTCTATTTTTTTGTGGACACTGGTTCAGATATACTGTACTGCATGTTTAAAGTCTTGGGGTGCATCTTTCACTAGTTAAATCAATAACAAATACACAAGTACTGTACTATAGTTGAGTACAGTACAGTATTTGGATGTCTGGATGTGAATAAATACATCATTGCCAATGTCACAGCATATCAAAACCAATTTAGTTACAGTAGAATAACACCAAAGCTAAAGTGATGTAGGATAATATGCTGGCAAAGTGTTTCTGCACACACCTGGTTACAGTATATAGACTCACTTTTGATGAAAATGGCCTTTAATTTTACCCTATGGTCTTTGTGCCTCACCATGACCAAGTGTTAGGTTGATCTCTGTAACACACTCCCTGGCAGCAGAACATCAGCTTATTGTGTCATTAATTGTGTATCTTACTTAAGTATTCATTATTATTTTATTTTCTGTCGAACTGTTAAGTACTGTCAGTGAACACCTTATTTGCTGCAAACTGAAACTTTCGTACATTGTTGGGTATGATGTCTGTGTATGTTCCAGTTTTGTTTTATGGTAAGGAGTTAACAAGACAGTTTTAGTGGGGGGACATTATTATATACTTTCTCTTGTAGTGAGGTGAAGTAAATTTGCTTGTAGGCTCCAGCGATAAACAGCGTATAATTATCCACCTGTTAGAGGACAGTGTCTGACCTTACAGTATTATGATCAGTGTGTTGCAGATGTCTCCTGATTTACTTAACATAAGCTTGTATTGTGATGATGGTTCCTGGAGTTTCTTGTAATTGTAGTTGTTGAGTTGACTTTTATCATGAAGCAATTTAAGGTAAAGTCTATCACATTGAAGATCACTGTCAACCTTGTGTGGTCATAGTTAGGAGTCTTATGTGTTGTGAATGTGTTGAACTGTAGCCTTGATGGTAATGGTTTTAGCACTACTGACTCATGAGACAGAAGCTCAGTCCCCTTGTTAGGTAGTGTTGAAGGGGCGTTGGTCTCTAATGTTGGACCCTCTGTTGTGTCAAGAGTCCATCAAGTCAAGATCCTGTTATATTTAGGCCCTGTTATGCCAAGGCTCCTGATTAACAACCTTTCATGCCTGGGCAGTGCTCCCTTACTAAACTCTTGAGAGACTGATTGAAGGATGTTAGTGTCTATTAAATGTTACCTTTAACTAGATGTAATGGTGTTTCTCAGTCCCAGTATAATATAAAGACTGTTATTGTATGTAATGGTTTATTGTAAGGATGTTGTGTCATACCTCAATTCAATCATTGACATAATGTTTTGAGTGAAAAAGTTTTATTGTGAAAATAATACTTGTAAATCAGCACTCTCATGTCCACAAATGTCACATCCCAGGCCCACTTTCAAGGCTAGGTAATGTACTCTTTGGATAATTTTACACTTGAGTTGAAAATTTTAGCCACCTTGTACACCTTCTTGCTTATTCTCTGCCTCTAGTTAGCTTGGCCTATTTGTGCTGACCTGCGCCTAGTTCCCTGCTTGCCTAATGCTTTATATTGATTCACCCACCTGACAGATTGAATGAACATATTGTACATATCGTTGTGAGATGGCCGTGGTAGACAAGCCTTCAGGCCATCCTCTCATCATCTTAACTGTTTTAATTTCTTCACATCTTCTCATGATCTCTCTGAATCTGTCTATTTATGTAGACAATCATTCTTCTCTCCTCCCTCAGTCTACTCACACTCACACATATCTCTTACCACAGTCCTTCCACATCTTCCTATCACCTTTGTGTGTGATTATTTTACCCTTTCCTTTATTGATTCCTCTTGACATCAGTACTGCCCTCATATTCTTTGACAGTTTTACTGAGTCCAGGCTTCTTCTGGCATTGCTAACTGTTACTGCTTGCTTTGTCCATACAGTGGCATCCAAGGCTACTGCTTTTAAACAGTTTTACTCATATTAGAAATGTGATCTACTCGGCTTTTGCAGCTGTATGGATTGCTTCCAATACTGCCTCTTGCAAACTGATCTGAACAGTGAATAGTGCTATTTATGATCTACTCTGAACAGTGCCTGGTATGAACTGCTCCAAAGTGTCTGTTGTGTATAGTGTCTTGTAGGAACTGCTATAAACAGTACCACGTATGAATTGCTGTGAACAGTTCCTCGTACGTACTGCTTCAAACAGTACCTCCTACTAACTGCTCAGAACAGTGCCTGATATAGAGGACTATTCAATGTTACCTTTTAGTACATGCAGTCGTGATCTGCAAATGCCCTCTGGCTCTTAATGATATCTCCTGCTAATAGAATTAAAACTAAGCACTGTTGCCAGTATCTTTGACCTCCAAACACCACCCATTGACCTCTTTGTTTGTCCTGTTAAAGTGAAGCAGTGGAATAATTACGTCCCCTCAAAATTCATCCTTTTATTTTATGTCTGTCTTAAAGATGAAATAAATAAATCAACCACATTTTGTCCTGGGTCCAGATTTTCAGGGGTTCGTACATAAAATTTTTGCTCTGACTGAGGATATGAGAATACACTTAAACTTACTATTTTAGCCTCCTATATACACTGTAATTGTCATCCGGAATATTGTTAATGCTGTAACTGAGATGCTGCTGATGTTAATGCTGTATTACACTGAGTTGCTGCCAATGTTAATGCAGTAATACATGGAGATGCTGCATTACACTGAGGTACTGTGTTCTCGTGTCCCTGCTCAGGAGGAAAACATAATAAACAAAGTGTTGAGAATCTGTCGCATTTCTGTAGGTAACTTTAAATATTTCCGTCCATCGTTTGTGTCCTGTCCTTATTGTCAATACTACTCGCATATTGTTTTTTGTTGTTGTTTTGTTTATGGGTAACAACTTTGTAATGAAGTAATAGATCTCCTGTATTGCTGTTAGTGAGAGATTTGGTAGATTATAAACAGTATTATTTTTAGTGTTGTATCCTTCAATATGGCAGCATACTGTATTACCAAGATAGCTCATACTTATATATGTAAATAAAATACAGTGCTGTGTGAAAAATAATATTAAAATCCCTTCTTTAAAGGTATTATTAGTTGTATAAGAAATAATACGTTGAGCTGTTACCAGGCATTGAAGGTTTAAACATAACATAGTAAGGTCAACACAATGCTTTCCTTTCAGAGTTTTTGGCCACTTTGAGATGCCTTTGTTCCTAGAGCTGTGTAAGAGCGTCCAGACCATTCACCTCTACAAAGGGCAGACACTGTTTTGCATTGGTTAGTTGTGTAACATTGTTGTCGAGATACATTCATCGTCCGTTCTGAGCAATGTTGTAGAAGCACACCCAACCATCTTTATTTATGCTTGTACAGTATTGGATATTGTGTGGGTTATGTATCTGTGATGTAGTAAGGGAAGGGGGTTTTGGTAGTGCATTTGCCTCCCTGGGTCAGATGAGAGAAGGGGGACAGTGTGATTATATTTTTAATACAGTATATTGTTTGTAAAGGCATTTGATAAGCTTTAGGAAATAGCTAAATTAGTGTGACTGAGACATGATTCATGAGACACATTCTTGTATGTGTCAACAGGCCAGAACGATGAGAATATCTTCATAATTCAGTCTGGGCGGCTTAAAGTGTTTGTGACGGAGCCCGACGGCACTACTCTGGCCCTCAAGGAAGTACTGCCGGGGGAGTCCATCATCTCTCTCTTGTCCTTCTGTGACAACCTGACCGGCCACCCTCAGCCATACAAGACGGTGGAGGCCAGAGCCGAGGAGGATTCCATCGTCATGAAGTTTCCCGTCAAAGCGTTCGAGGAGACCTTTAGGAAGTACCCGGACATGTTTGTTCGGGTGGTGCAGATTATTATGGTGCGGTTGATGCGAGTTACCTTCATGGCGTTGCACCAGTATCTGGGACTATCTTCTGAACTCATAAACAAGGTGAGTGTCGTCTGGCCAGAGTTTTTACTATTCATTGATATTTTATTTAGATAGTTGGACCTTCAGCTAACCTGGACCCTCCCCACTCCCCGTCCAATTAGTCCATACGACCGAGGGTTCACTTATAGGAAAATGATAGTAATTTAGATAGTTATGAACTAAAAAAAAATCAAAGTAAAGTATTGAAAAATATTCCGAGGCAACTGTACTGTACTGTACTATTATTGAGACTTACGATGTTTCGTATTCATAGAGATTGATAAACAAATTTGTGCAGGTACCGAGGAGAGGGAGTGGCAGCAACATGGCCCCTACACTCTCCTCCCCTGGCAAGGTGAAACGAGATAGCGGGTCCACTCCTGATGGTGAGGGTGAGGAGGAGATGGAACAGAGAGGCCCGGAGACGCCCGTCAGGCAGAACAGTGTGAAAAAGATCGTCTTAGTGGATCCAAAGGAGGAAAAGGATGAGAACTCTCTTAGAATTGCAACAGAAAAGTTCCAGGCCTTACTGCACTTGGAGTCTGATGAAATCTTACAAGGTGCTGTGGCAGTTAGAGATGTCCCGTCGGGCTCCTTTTTGATGAAGCAGGACTCTATGAAGGAGGCAGCATTAGTTTACATCCTCTCTGGTACACTGACGGTGTCACAGTACTCATCTGAGAGTGCCGGAGATATTCAGCTCTTCACTGCTCACCCTGGAGACCTTGTTGGAGGCCTGGCAGTGTTGTCTGGAGATCCCTCATTTTTCAGTGTCAGGGCAAAACATACTGCACGTGTGGCGACCATCACCAAGGAAACTTTTTACGCGTAAGTACCTCTACTGCTAGCTATATCTTGTATAGTACCGTGCTCACTTTTAGGGAGCTGTTGATGACTTTATAGCTTTATATAATTTACTCCTCATAGTTATGAAAATTTTCTGCCCTATCTTCAGCTGTTACCCTAGACTGATGCCAAGTTGACCTAACTAGAAATCCTGTGATTAAAAATTCTGTGTACTGTATACCTGTAGTAATTAACAATAGTTATTAACTTCGTTTTTCTTGCACCAAATATTAGAAATGGTCAAAGTACGATATTGTACAGTATGTAAATGGTGGAAGTGGACACCATCTCCAATATTTACTGTAAGTAGAACACATACAGTATATACAGTAACAATGAAGGTACAGTACATGCAACAAGGAACAACTACATTATTAATTATTGTTAGGTTTTTGTGAGGGCACTGTACAGAGTTACTTAAGGGTTACCGTGTGGGTAATGTAGATGTGTTTATTTTATATTTTATTGCACTTGACAGAATCATCAAGGAAACACCAGAAGTTGTGTTACACGTAGCCAACACCGTCATCCGCCGCATGTCCCCCTTTGTCAGGCAGATTGACTTTGCCCTTGACTGGGAGCACCTGGAGGCTGGACGAGCACTCTACAAGTGAGTGTCCAGTTCAGTAGTTAGCTCTTGTGATATTTAAGAATGTGTTATGATAGTATCTTAGCTTGGGATATGTGTACTAAAATGATTAACTATTGAGGTGTGATGATTAAAATATCTGTGTAACTTAGAGGAGATTATCCTAATTGATTGAGGTGATGGCAGGAATATAAAACAATTAAAAGAATGTCACAACAAAAATAATAATGTTATGTAATTCTTCAAGTATATTAATATTACAAAGTTTCTGATTTTCTATACAGTATTAACTTAAAATTTTTTGTGAGATACTGTACTGGAACAGATGGTTGAAGGAGATAACAAGTCATTCATTTATACTTGTATTTATAATTTACAGACAAGGACAGCCAACAGATTCAACCTTCATAGTCCTCAGCGGCAGACTACGTTCTGTGATCACACACACGGACGGCAGGAAAGAAGTGGTGGCAGAGTATGGCAAGGGCGATCTTGTTGGTATTGTAAGTAACATTATTTAAGTGTTTTCATTCTTCATATGTACTTTTTTACTAATGCTAAATCACACTGAATGTTTCTCAAGTGCTTCACGAATGCATAGTGATCGTGACATTGACACTACAGTATTTTGTTTTTTATATGTCATGAGAAAGTTACTTTGTGTTTTTATGTTGGTGATTAGAAAGTTTTACAAACTTACTAATAATCTTAATTGGGTGAGTAGAGAGCTTGGCATAAAATGATTTTTTGGGAAGGACATTTTGCATGTGGGTGAGGCTGGGTTATGTCAATTGAGATTTTGAAAGTTAATACAACCTGATATTGCTAAACTGAGTTTGTATAAAACCTGTGTAACAGCTGATATGTACTGTTCTGTATCTGACCTATGATGAATATCAAATTTCTGTGTTTTGGCTTTAATGACTTTTTCACACTGTACAGTATTGCCCCGCTTTACGCGGTTTCACTTTCCGCGATTTCTCATTTACGCGGTGCCTCGCCAGAACCGAACTTTCACTTTCCGCGGTGCATCTATTCATATACGCGGGAAGCGGCGCGGGCAGGATGCGCACAAGGTCGCCCAGTCATCAAAACATTACCGAGTTCTTCACCCGCCACCCACCACAGCCAGCCTAAGTCAGTGATAGTGATAGTGAGGATATGGACTTATATGGACTTTGAGGGATTTGACAAAGAGGCCCTGCAAGCCTATGTGGTGGATAGATACAATTGATACAAGTGATACAGGTGAGGGCCAATAATCTGCCCTCTGCCTCGGAACCAACCCCCCATCCCTGTGTGCCCAGCCATCTTTTCTACTAATGTAAGTGTTAAAAAAACTAATATTATTGATATTTCTCTTAATTAGTAATTGTGTGTGCATACCATCATAAAATTAAGATGTAATTTTTACTACAACGTAGGTATTGTGTGTGAAAAAGTGGAGTTTGGGGGTCGGGCCAGTCTCTATTGGAATTAATCCCATATGTTCTGTTGTTCACTTTACGTGGTTTTCACTTTCCGCGGTACCCCATGGGTTCAATTGACCGCATAAATTGGGGTACTACTGTATTTAATTTAGAATAAATAACATTGACCAAATTATTTGTGCCTAAAGTAATGTGTTAATCCTGCACAGGTGGAGCTGTTAACACAGACGGACCGTAGCACGACGGTGATGGCTGTACGAGACTCTGAATTGGCCAAGCTTCCAGAGGGCCTCTTTAACATCATCAAGCTCAAGTACCCAGTTGTGATGACCAGACTGATCAAGCTACTTGGACAACGGCTGCTGGGTCAGTACCTTAGTGGTGTTTATCACTGTGTGTTGAGGTAGAAGACCCAAGGAAGGTTTGAAGAGGCTAAATCCTATGGAATGGCTGATGAATGGTCAGTTGGGTTCCAGTTGTTGTGGGCTAAACCTAACCTAGTCATTAGGATTGGGGCCCAGTGTGTGGGCCCCAATTACAATAGGCCTCTCTCCTCATGGTTAAGACATATTAACTATGGGGCTGATTTAACCATAAACTAGAATAAGTGCAGTAAACTCAGAGGACAAGTCATCTGTATGTCCTCTGTGGTCTAAGAGGCAACTGAAAATTTAGAAGAGTTTAAGGATGTGTGACCTGTAAATTATCCCAGACAAATAATTTAGATTAGGTTGTAAGAAATATGTCTCGGATGCAGAGTGTGTGTGTAAGATCAGATCATGAATCGTCCTGTAAATTTTAACTGTTGATTATTTCAGGTTCTTGGAAATCAACAACCTCTCGTGTGCCGTTGGGTCTGAACATTGAACAGCGGCCGTCACAGAGTAATTACTCCACGGTAGCCATCGTTCCCGTGTCTGAGGACGTTCCCATCTCCCAGTTCACCCTTGAGTTATATCACTCTCTCCTCTCTATTGGTAAGTGAGGTTTTGTTGAAAGTGTCATAATATTTATTGGTTTATATTATAAGTATCCTATCAATTTTCCATACTAGGGCTGATGGGAATACAGTTTGTTTGTGTACTCTCCATACATAATGTTGGTTATATCCTTGGCAGGTCCAGCTCTGAGACTCACCTCTGAGTATGTGGTGCGCTCCTTGGGCACCAGTATATGGGAGTCTGCTAATGAGTATCAGCTCATATCTTGGCTGGGGCACATTGAGGACCAGCACCGGGTCACTCTCTACCAGTGTGACTCCTCCCTCACTGTGTGGGCGCAGCGGTGTATACGCCAGGCTGATGTCATACTAACTGTCGGGTTAGCAGATGCCGAACCTCAGATGGGAAAGGTCTGTGTGTACTTAGATGTGATCAACAGTCTCTCTAATCATTTACTCTCACTCTTACCTGCAGTAATAGATGTGTTCTGGTATAATATATCTCATCCACAAAAAAGCCCCAAATGTCCATCTGGTTTACACCCTCTCATTTGACACAACCTAACATCACCCATCAGTTGATCTGTTCATCGTCATTATTTTATGGCTATTTTTTATGCCTACGTGAGTTAGACATAATTACTCGAAGAACAAATTTTCTGTAATTAGTTCACTCGTTCCTACATGTGTTGCAGTGTCGGGGGTGTTATTGAAGAATCTGGCAATGAACCGGCACAATGTTTTCTGCAGTTGTTTTCACACCAGGCGATAGTACTTGTAGTAAACAATCCGTTAATCATCCCAGTTTACTCTACAGCTGTTCTTGCTCCTGATGATAATAACATAACATAAATATTTTGTTATTATCCGTAACCTCTTTTAACACCGTCCTCCTGAGGTTAACAGGTGAAATAAATATGTCTCCATTTCTTACACTTATCTCCCTCTGTTTGTCTTGCTCATCTGTGTCTGGCCAGTTTATTCAATTATGATTCGTCTTATTTTCTCCTTTATCTCTTGTTTTACCAGTTACACCAGGCTACACATAGACCCTTCATACAGTATTTTGCCATAATTGTTGATACACTTTTTTGATTGAACTGAAGGGCTATTTTTTTGGCTTCTGAGTTTATCAGTACCTCTTGAGACTCAAACTAAGGAAGACATTGAGTGTGTGTGTATGTGTGTATTTTGTGTGTATGGGTATCATTGTTTGTTTTGATTTAACTTAACTGTACTTGTCGGATTTCAGATTGAAAAACACGTTGAGAAGATGGCAGTGAGGACTCAAAAGGTACTCATTCTCCTTCACCGAGAGGACGGCCCGCCACCCTCCGGCACGGTACGATGGCTCAACATGCGATCCTGGTGCCAGTCCCATCACCACATCCGGGCACACAAGAGGATGTTCCAGAAGAGAACCCCTGCCAAGATTGTGAGTTGACTTGACAGTTTTTATAGAAGAAATATGAGCTACAGTAAAGCCTCCACGTAATGTTTTCCATTAGATGGGGGTTTCATATCTAACAGACCTTTGATATAACGGACTTTCATCTCTATGTAGTTCGTTAGATGGAGGTTTCACATCTAATGAACCCTCCATATAATGGGTTCTCCTCTCCATATAGTCAGTTAAATAGAGGTTTCACTGTAATCCAAATGCAATTCAGTGAAGCTACTCTTACGGTGAGATTTATGATACAGTGAAATATACAGTAAGCAAATACCTGTACATGTTTAAGTACAGAAATTATGCATGATACTGTACTGTGAATATAAGTTAAATAAAGTACAGTATCAGTAAAACCAACCATAAAGTACAGCATGATATTATGTGTAAAGCTGGCAGAGTAAGGCTCACTAGTTTGTTGGTTGCACTGTGGCTCACAAAATTGCCCACAGTTTTCAAACTATGTAAAATACAGTTCAGGATAGATTTGCCAGGACTACTGGTTACAAAAATTGTGAATTGTATCATATTGAAATTTATCTAAAATGCTGGTTATTGAACTATTATGGTCACTAAAATGTCAGATAAATGAGAGTTTGCTGTATGTTATATTTTGACTTGCCCTGTACTGTATAAGGATAATTTAGAGTTATATTCACTTTGTTCATATTTCTCTTCCTCCCACAGATTGAATATTACACAGAGAAGGTGTTCACTGTTCAGCCCAACGTTCACAGTGACTTCTCTCGTCTGGCCCGGGTGTTGACGGGCACCACCGTGGGTCTTGTGCTGGGTGGTGGTGGGGCAAGAGGAGCAGCTCACATTGGCATGATAAAGGCCATCAAGGTTAGTCATGTCCCTAACTCTCTTGTCTATCACTTGAGAGTAGATACAGTAGTCTATTATTTTATTTAAATCTGGGAAACGTGTTGTATCCATCATTACATGTAAGTGGTGAGTCCTTAGCATTGGATCATTGGGTTTGCTTGAGCTGTTTTTCAGACTTTTATTCAGTTATCAGGTTTAATGTGTTCAAAGCTGTTTAGTCTAGTTTTATACTTCTCGATTTACACGAGGGTTACGTTCTTGAAGAGGTCGTGTAAATCAAATTTTGTGCCAAAAAAAAAAAGTGAGTGAGAGAGGCATCTGAGGCAAGATGGGAGTGTGCATCAGCCCCGTTTATACAACCCTTCTTTACACCACTTGTACACTCAGGCAAATCACACTTATGTACAACTTATTCCATACACCTTCTGCTCCAGGGTTAAGGACAACCTTGACTTCTTAGGCATTTTCTGCACCTCCAGGGGTAGAAGGACACTTGGGAGCCATGATAAATACGTAGAAAATCTGCGAGGTAGCACAGCCGCACGTGTGGGGTGCACACGTAGAGTGAGCGTGAAGGACTGAGCGAACAGCGAAGCGAGAGACGTCTGGCGGCCGCTCCGTGAACTATGCGTGTTATTGTGAACGAATCGTGTAAATTAAATATTTTTTTGGATTTTGGACCTCGTGTTAATTCGAAAACGGGCAAAAAAACACGCGCAAAGCGAGAGGTACCTGTACTTTCCATTTCGGGAAAATTTTTGAGCATAATCCATTGTTTCTTGACCACATGGATTAATGTACAAGGTAATTTAATATAGAAGCAGTAGGTGTTTCGCTCTTAAGGTCCAATGCATCTGAATATTTTTTCTCCAGAGAATACTGTGTTTTTCTTTGTATAGTATCGGGGGATTTTTTCATCACCTTCTCTTTCACATGGAGGGAAGGTCCTCTTGCCATCAGTATTAGGTGTTGTTGCGTGTCCTAGACTTTCAAAGGAAGCTATTGTGTTATTAAGAGCATTTTATTTTGATCTTTCCAGGAGGTGGGCATCCCCATAGACATGGTGGCAGGAGTAAGTATAGGAGCATTTATTGGTGCTCTCTACTGCCTGGAGAAGGATACTACCAGAGTCACCCAGAAGGCTCGTGAGTGGAGTATGGTGAGTTGAACCACATCTATATAGGGTTTTTTAGCCAGATGATTACTAACACTTTATTATTTGTATTTTATTTTTTCAAATAACATATAAAGAACATTTTGATAATTACTTAGTTTTACTTTTTGGTTCTTTAGATTTTGCATTTGTAAAAATCATGTTTCTTTTAGGGCGCTATATATATATTTTTGTTTTTCAGCACAATAAAAGTTTAATATCTTTAACTTGTAACTCTTAATTTATTCCAGATTTTGTAACTTTTTCTGGTAATTAATATATTACAGTTGTTATTTCAGGGACTTTCTTTGAGTTATTAAACCAACATAAATGAAGACTGTACATAACTTTAAATACTTCTTGTTTCATCTTTGTTAATTAACGATGTACCACTTGTGTATGTGGTCCCTTCTCTGCTGAATAAATTTGTCCGGCATTAATCAAAATATTAAAAGTGGCATCCCATAGTGAAGGGATTAATGCAACTCATTTCCCATCATGACAAGGTTGTTGGTGCTCTATACCAAGTCAAATTAATCCATTATATTTGTGCCATTACAGAAAATGACAAGCATATGGCGGATGGCCCTGGATCTGACGTATCCAGAAGTGTCCATGTTCTCGGGTGCTGGCTTCAACAAGCTGATCCACGACGCGCTCGGAGACACAAACATAGAGGACCTCTGGCTTCCTTACTTCACCCTCACCACGGACATCACCGACTCAGCCGCCCGTATTCACACTCACGGTAATACACATCTTAACTATATTATTACCAACAGTTTTCATCATAATGTTTTAATTCTTTTTCTATATTAAACAATAATTATAACCCATTAAATGAAATACCAGAGATAATTGTGGGGATGTTTTATAAAGGTAATTAGAGAATTTTTTTTTTAGTTTACCATAAAAGGAATGTAGAAAATGGCATAGTTGGGGAGTAACTATAAACACACCTTACTCTCAGTCTAAAGCCATAAGTTGAAAATATGTGTTTTATCTCTGCCTCTGGTATCTCATTCTACAATACATATCCTTAAGATGTTATAGAGGCAGTGCTTGTCATGTCATGCTGGTGAAAGTAGGCTTTAAGTTTATATTTTGTTTAATTATAAGTTACTTCTAGATTTATGTTCCAGATTGTTGATTTAAAACTCCTAATACCATGATACAGTGTCTCTGTTATCCAGAATAAATGTCCTCGGTTGTCAAACTTTTGTGTTACTATTATATATTATCTGTTTAACCATTCTGTTACTAAATAATAACTGTTAACTACCCAGTACCTGTATCTACTGTGTGTGTTCTCTACTAATAGTAGATAAGTTTCCCGGCATACCATGTGATCCCCGCCTGCCTCCCAGCTTGGTGTATAATACGTTAATGTTATACTTTTGTGTTTGTCTCATTTTTATGTTTTATGAGTTGTTTAATTCATTGAGGGAGTTGGTGGCTATCAGGTGGAACTTGACTGGTTCATTACACAAGGTGGAGGCAACATATAAGGTAGATAATAACAGTTACGTCTGTTTTGGGAGTAACGGCTTAATGTGGAGGAGGAGCAGAATATTCATGTTGTATATTTGAGGTGTGAGAAGTAAGCTGCTTCTTGTATGTGATCTAGTGAGCTGTTGCCCACTGTTACATGAGGTGAATGTGTAATTGTGTACAGTATTGAATGGTAAAATATAAAGAGGGAAAATTCTTATAATATTTTATCAAAGTGTGTTATAGGGGCGACTGGTCAGATAGGCTTCATTAATAATAGCATCAGTCTAATCTGACCATTATGATTGAGACTCTTGTAATGATTAGGTAGCTTGGGGCTGTTGGACCAGCAGGTGGTAGGGTGGCCGGATGGAGTCACCCGGGAAATCACTAATGTAATGGCTGTCTAAAAGGGTCATGTTACCCTCTGTTTTGGTTGAAATAGGGTGAAGGTAAGAGATCCAAATATGTTTTTGTATCCCCACAAATTTCCCATAGATTTAGGGGCAAGAGAGGGCTATACAGAGTTACCACAGAAATATTTCCCCACAGTAACATGAGAAAGGCTTAGCAGATCGTAATGTAATTTTATCCTAATATTTGACTAAGGTATTAGGTACCTTTTACATCTATATATCCTGATCTTCATTTGTTTTTATGATAGGGCCATCCCCTGGGCCTATTGATAATGTAGGAGGGAATCTCAGTATCCAGAGAAAACTTGCAATGTTTAGTGGGATTATTCTGGATAGCATCATTGTCACATCCAACCACAGTGGAAATCGAACCTCGGTTGCATCGGTGACAATCGAGCCTATTATACCGTTTGGTGACAAAATTTAAGTGTTGGAGAAAAAGTAGGTATAGCTTTCACAAGCTGGGGGATGGTTGTTGGGAATGGATGGGGTTGATGTGAAGTTGATTAACCTGGAAAGGAATAGAGTGAAAATAATTGATGGTGTACTGAGGCAGTTTAAAGTTGTGTGTGAGTTGTATTGTGTTTGGGTTATCAGACTGATGGATTCAACTGTCGAATATGTTTTAAGATTTTATCAGCATTTAGTATGATTATTAATCTATTGTGGCCATTTACACTTTAATTAAATACTTCATGTTCATTAAGGTGGACACTTCTCTGTCATTTAAATGCCTTAACTCTTCTCGCATGGAATGATTATGTATTTATTTACTGTCATTTTTTGTAAGTAAAGCCATAGACCCTTGATTAGTGCCATTTAAAACTTTATAACTGTACATAAAGCTTGTCATAATTTATGTAAAAAATTTCTGCTAAGCTTGTTTTTGAGTCTTGTTAGTAAGAGTTCTTCAGCAAGTTCTCAAAATCTTATTGTTTTAGAAAGTCATATTGGGTTTACCAAGTGTTGGATATTGTTAGTTTTGTGTTGGTTTTAATTTTCAGAAAGCCATTCAAGTTTGAAGTATTTTTCTACAAATGATAAACTATGATTGTAAGAGTTTGTTACATTATTGAGAGATGAAACAGTCCATTAAAACATTAAGAGATATTAAAGACTTAGTAGAGTGTTATAACATTTCATAATACTGTACAAAGTTTATATACCCGGTATAAAAAAGAAATCACAGTTGGTAAAGTTGCAAGTAGATTATTAGAGTAACTTTGTACTTTGTTTTGAGTGCATCGGTCAGTGCATGATTTATGATTGTACTCACAATTTGAGAAATTCTTGTCCTCCGGGGTATGAACTCGTTATGAGAACTGAATTTTACGGTTAGATGACGAATACATTTCGGTGCCACCCTGAGACCTTGTTTACAGTTGACCTCCACCTCCCTATAGCTTCTGATGTTGTGCACCTCAATAAAACCCTCTTGTATAATTACTGAATTACAAGATAAATAAGTCTTTAAATGTTTTATTATGGTATACTTCAAGACATTTCATATACTACAGTACAATAAGTTTCAGGATGTGACACAGTCTGGGAGGACTTAAGATTTTCAGTAATTAGTCTATATTTACAAATTCTTGTACTCTGCAATCAAAGAAGAATTTACGTGTCATGCATACATTCCCCGTCAAAATATAAGACATTCCATGAGCTGTGAACATTGTATAATATTACCAGAGAAATTTTTGTGTCTGTCCTGCATATTTTAGGTTTTTCTCATGGTATATTTTGTCATTGATTTTTAACATATGGGAGGGACATCATTTTACAGCATCACTGTTAGGTTTTTTTTATTCAATTACTTTGAGTGAGGGAACAAGTCACCTGCTCAAGGCTTAACATATCTCCTTCCCTTTGCTAGTCTTAGGGTGTAGGGCTCATATCCCACCTATTGGTTTTCACCAAGCAGTCAAGTGGTTACAGTGACGAGGGCACCCCTAGCCCACCCAGCTGTGGATAGGTATCTAATGTAGTTCAGGAAGTGAAGGTGGTCGAGTACAGTGCCCGGCCATACTGTCTCCTTATGCTCAGAAAAGAAGGCTTAGTCTTCATTGTACTGTATCCACACTGCCCCTAAGGGAACCAGTTTCCACCAAGAAGAAAGAGCAGATATCAAAACTGATGTGTTTGAATGTACATGTTAACACTCAGCTTAATAAGAAAAAGAGTAATTGAAGCTCTGATGAGTAAAAGTAATCCTTTCAAATCGACAGTGTGAGAGGTAATGAGATTTAAATACAAGAGTAGTACAGTAAAACATAAGTGGAGAGGATTTGGGGTAAAATTTGGAGTTCTATACGAAGAATTATTGGTTTATGTGGAAATACGACAGGAGGTGATAAAGGGTTAGTTGTACATTTATGCAGTATAATTGGGGGCCATTGTTGTGATTGTGTGTGTATGTGATGAAGGAAAACTTGCCTTATTTAACCTCCTCATTGGGATTATTGTTTAAGAGACCTTAGTAATGAGAGAAAATTGTATTCTACTGAAGTGAAATTTCCAAGATAAATGTCTCAACACACACACATACACACACACTTATACACTATACATAAAATAAAATAATTCTATCTTAGCTTAAGAGTAAATAAGCATGAAATGGTATTAATCACGTAAAAAAGCAATTACATATATTCTGAACACATTACCCTTGTAAACTAAATGGACAAATACTTGTTTGCCCATGAAATCTTCTCAGAAGGGTACACAGTGTAAATATGTATATGTTTATACTAACTGGTTGTGTATTAACATCAAAATGGTTTGGGATGTGCCACTGCTTTTATCTTGCAGCCGAGCTTCTGGAGGTTACCATTATTAAGCAATTGTACTGTACAGCATGGTCAAATTTATTGGAATGCTAAAAAACAGTGGGTATTAATCAGTGTTTGCCCAACTGTGGTGTAATTTATACTGAGAAATTAATACTTGGTTTGCTTTTGTGTGGGTTGAATCCATTGTAACTACTGTCTGGCTTATTGTTTCTGCTGTGACGTATGATTAATGTGTTTTCCCTCTTTTTGCTTTACTGATGATAAAATAAGTGGTACCCTGTGTGACTATGTTGAAAATATTGGTTCTTGTTGAACGCTTGTCAGACATACAGTACTTACTTACATGAGCAGAGGAGTTTAGATGTGTTCTAAACAAAGACGGTGCGTGTATATCCGGAACCTCATGTGATTATGTCACACTAGGGGGTACTAAAGGGAACAGGCCAGTGGCTGTGTAATATATATTGAGACCTTTGTTAAGTACAGTATTGTACCCACTGTGGTCGTTGTGCAGCATAATGCTTAGTGATGCATGTATATATTTAACCAGTATCATGTGCTTCCTGCGGGGTTGTGCTCAGTGTGGTGACCAAATCCGCATTTGCCCATAAACAGCTTGTACGTGTATATATGGTAGCTAGTGTCTCATTATTTGTCACTCCTCCTAATGGAAGAAATTATTTCGTCAGTGTGGGTGATAGAGTGAATGTGAGTGGTTGGTTAGTGAGAAAAATGCCTTAAAGATTCTGAGGGAAATTGCTGGAAAAAGTAATGTTGGTAAACTTTATCCATGGGGCCAGCAGCTGAGTACAACTGGTGTAAGGTGACCCGAATGGATTTTTTTTTTAATTTGTAAAAGCTACTGCCAATAAAACCACCTTATGAATAGTTTAAGATGAGGGTTATAGTTATTGGTTTTGTGAAGAGTAAGGATGGCAACAAGGGCAGGAGGGTCCACCTTGAAAGAGTCATTTACCAAAAATATGAAGAATTCAAAATGAAACTATAATTAAAGTACTTAGATACATGAAGGTTCAAGTTAATTATAT